CCCCCCCCCCCCCCCCCCCCCCCCCGCCGCGGCCTCTTAGAGCGGCTCCCGCCGCGTCGCGGCTCACACCACCCGCACTGCCGCTCCGGGAGGGAGGGGAGGAAGGTTAGGGACGCAGAGAGGGAGAGCGCTAGCTGGAGACAGACGCGGGGCCAGGGCTTCAGCAGGGGCTGGGGCCGCGGCTAGGGTAGAAAGGTGGGTCAAGGCTCGCCAAGAGCCAGAGCGCAAACCTGCGAGGAGGTCGCGCCCGGTGGGCGCCACCCGCAGCGCAGAGCCCCGGACGTCCAGAGCGCGGAGAGTAGTCCCAGCTCCGGCCGGGAGCTATCCGTCTGGGTAGACGGGGACCTAGGCGCCGCCATCCTCGAGAAAGCAGCTGTCCGGAGGGCAGGCATCCTAGATCTGTAAGAAACCAGCCGTCCGAGAAGCCACCGATTTCAGGCGCCTGGGAACGTTAGACTGAACGAGAGGGTAATAGAGGACCACGGACTCTGAACTGTCGGGAGCTGTCCCTGGTCCAACCAACGGAAGGACCTCCGCCTTGACGGAAGGTTTGGGGAACGGCACCACTGAGGCGGGAGCCCACAGGGGCGGGGGGGCTGGGCGCAGCCGTCGGGGGGATCCCGACCCAGGCCCGAGCCCGGTCACCGCCTCTGGGGCCCGCGGAGAGCCCCGGGCCTCCGCCACCATTGCACCCAAGAGTGAGGAGGATCTGCTGGCCCTGGCCGCGTCACGGCTGAGCCGCCGCAAGAGGGTGGCGGGCGCGGCCGTCGGGGTGGCCATGGTGCTGCTGCTGCTGGTGGCCATTCCGCTGCTAGTGCACAGCTCCCGCGGGCCGGCGCACTACGAGATGCTGGGTCGCTGCCGCATGGTGTGCGATCCCCACGGGCCGCGAGGCCCAGGACCCGACGGCGCGCCCGCCTCCGTACCCCCCTTCCCTCAGGGCGCCAAGGGAGAGGTGGGCCGGCGCGGAAAGGCAGGTCTGCGAGGGCCCCCGGGACCACCAGGTCCCAGAGGACCTCCAGGAGAGCCGGGCAGGCCAGGTCCCCCAGGCCCTCCAGGCCCAGGCCCCGGCGGGGTGGCGCCCCCTGCCGGCTACGTGCCTCGAATTGCCTTCTATGCTGGCCTGCGGCGGCCACACGAGGGTTACGAAGTGCTGCGCTTCGACGACGTGGTGACCAACGTGGGCAACGCTTACGAGGCAGCCAGTGGCAAGTTCACCTGCCCCATGCCAGGTGTCTACTTCTTCGCTTACCATGTGCTTATGCGCGGCGGTGACGGCACCAGCATGTGGGCGGACTTGATGAAGAATGGACAGGTGAGCTGCCCCTCTCCCACCCAGCCCCAGACACGGTAGCTTTCTAATTCTCCCTGCATTCATTACGCAACCCGAACCTCTTCCCCAAACACCGTCACTAAATCCAAGAAGGCCACACTGCCAAGAACTTAGAAATCGCTTCATTTAGTCCAAAAGGAATTGGGGGGCCAGAGAAAGAAAACGACCTGCCCAGGGTCTCATGGGGCATTAGGAATGGTGTCAGAATTAAAACTCAGAGCCTCACACTCCAACTATAGGCAACTATACACCAAACCTCTTTGGTATCTCACCCTGCCTCTTAGCCTCTTTTCTCCTGTCTTGGGCAGCCCTCCTGGCCTTTGGGTTACCCAGCCACTTGATGGGCGAGTTACCGGAGTCTGGCTCCTTCGATTTAGAATGGAATCCGGGTATCACGGCGTGGGCAGTTGGTAGCTGTTCCTGTGTGGGGGTCATTAAGCTTGGATTTTCAAGGATAAGGTAAAAAAAGAAAGAAAACACTGTCTCATTTTCCAGGCAACTCTATTACTAGTCCCAGGGCCTGAGGTCAATGCTAGAGTGGGCCTTACCCTCAGCTAATACTGAGTCCGTAGGCAGAGGTGGAAAATGAGGCAGCACTGGGGCCAGCCAGGCGGCTTGCAGGAACGAATTTGGGAGAAAGGAAGAGGCAAGAACAGATAAAGCAGAAGCCTTGGACCCTGGCCTGGTCCCTGCTCCTGTGGTCAGAGTCGGAGTCATGGCTGCCTTAGCTTGGAAGAGAAGTCCCAAACACTCAGCTCAAGGTCCAGGACACGCTTAGGGGGAGCCAGAGGCCACAGGGGTGGGGCTGGGGAAGTGTGCCTGGGCCACGCAAGCCGCAGGGTGTAAGGTTAGGGCTGAGCTGTGACCTCCGAATGCCCCATGCGCGATGGGGTGATTTGACCGTGGCGCATCAGGCCTGCTTATCCCACCTGTCCGAACCCCAGGTCTTCCTCCCGCTGCAGCACCCTTCCGCTCCAAGAACCGAAGGCACTACATTGAGGTCTCCTCCCAGCAGGGTCGCCCCAGGAACCCAGGGAAAGGGAGTGAGAGTGTATGTGTGTAAGACTGTAGCGTGTGTGTGCGTGATGCAAGTGTGTCTGTGGGTGCGGGGTGTGAAGGTGTGAGAGTAGAGCGGTGGCTGCTTGCCTGTGGCACTGAGTAGGTGTGTGTGGTCTGTGCGGCGTGTCTGTGAGGGGCGGAGGGGGGGAGTATGTATCTAGAGTGCGTCGCTTCCCGAGGCGGCGGGGGCCGCGCGGCTCCCACTCTGTATTCCACAGTGCGGGCGCTGCGGCTTTGGGGACGGTAAATAGTGATTAGAATAATGATGAATAATTAATCAGTTAATAACCAGTCCCCTTGGGACAGGAAGAGGGGGGCTGGGGAGGGGGCTGGCTGCGATGCTGAGGCGTCGGTGAGGCGACCTGCAGCAGCGAGGCCAGAGGGGAAGAGGCACTACCTGTTTGGGCGGAAGGCGACCCCCACGTCGGGGCGCCCGCGGGCACTAGGAGGGACAATCGAGGAGGGGCGAGGATACATCATGGCACCTTCCCACAGCCTGCACCCTTGCTTACACACGCACAGACACACCTGTGCCCTATCTCTGGGGGAAGGGAGCACAAGTTTAGAAGGTCCAAGTGGGTTCAGAATCTTAGAAATTATCCTACAGTCTAATTTTATTTTTAAAATAATAACAATAGCAAAACCTATATAGCGTTTTCTTTGTGCAAAGCACTGTTTTGTAACACACTTCACACGTAGTAACTCACTTAATCCTAACAACCTGAGGAGGTAGGTTCTATTACTACCTCCTACCTCATAGCTCAAAGTAAGGACCAGAGAAGGCGTGAAACTTGCCCAAGTCCCAGCAGCTAGTGAATGGCAGTGCCTGCGAAGCACCTTGTCCTTCCCAAACCCTGCAGCCTGCTACCCTCGCGTCACCTTCACAGGCCCAGCTGCATCTCCTCGGCCGACCCCTCATCACCCCAGCTCCACACAGGGCATGAGTGGGTTGTTCTGTTCCCCCTCGCTAGGTCCGGGCCAGCGCCATTGCTCAGGACGCGGACCAGAACTATGACTACGCCAGCAACAGCGTCATCCTGCACCTGGATGTGGGAGATGAAGTCTTCATCAAGCTGGACGGCGGGAAGGTGCACGGCGGTAACACCAACAAGTACAGCACCTTCTCTGGCTTCATCATCTACCCGGACTGAGTCGGGCTCCATGCCCCGCCCCCCTCCACTCCGCTCCCCCCCTCACCCACCTTCAGCTTGCCCCACCCAAGGCGCCACCCCATCCTTTGAGAGACTGGGGGTGGGACGGACCCTCCCGCTCCCGGAGGTGGCCTTTAATGGGCGGACTCTTGGTGCTCCGGGGTATAACTGAGTGGCTGGGGAGCTGAGGAAACCGGCCGGGGGAGCAGAGCGGCCTGGGAAGGGACCACCAGCACCCGTGCACATGCCTGTGAAAGCCGGGCGAGGAGGGGGGCGCAGGTCGTGGCCCTCTCTTCTCTCGGGAGCTAGGCAACAGTTTCACTAACTGCAGCACAGAGGCACGGAAAGCAGAAAACAGGAGGGAAGCCCTGGCTTTTGGGGAGGGAGAGAACAGGAACAGGAGCCCTTCTAGGCGAGAGGAGAGGAGACATTAGGGCGGGCAGGCGCTGGCCCTCTGCCGCGACAACTTCTCTGCCATCCCCTCCTCCCCTCATCTCCATTTTCAGGCTTCAGGCTTTAGCCTTGGCAGCCTCCCTGTGAACTGGAGGAACCAGTGAATTCTTTCCTAGCATTTAAAACTCATCCTGCAGTCCCCATTTCACCCCCATAGGGGTTAGGCCCTGGGGCTACAGCTGCTGTTGCCTCTTCCAATAAAGTCAAGTGGGAGAATGTGTGTGCCTCTTAACTTGGTGCACAGAGTGGGGGAAAGTGGCTGACCCTTTCCTCACTCCTCTCAAGGACCCCTACCCTCTGCCAGAGGCAAAGGTTTCATTATTCCTGGCAAGGCCTGCCTCTGGGGAAGCAGAGGAGGGGAGTAGCCCAGGGTTTCTACTCTGATACGGGGAAGGGTATCAGCTTCAGGAGAGCTTTGAGGCCTTACACTGTAGGGAGACACCAACCAGAGGGACACTAGCAAGGGAGGATTCCAGAGGTACGGGTCTGGTGCTTCTGCTTTCTGCTGATGCAGGGGGAGAGTTCTAGGGACCTCTAGGCGATGCAGGAGTTGCTGACGACTCCTGGGAGTGGCCAAGATCTCAGGGAGCAAGGAGAAAGGCAGCTCCCCAAAGGCCCACATTCGCGCCCTCCCCCCAAAAAAAACACTCACTCATAGTGCTTGTTGGGAGGGTGGGGTGTGCAGGCGTGGGATGACTTGGACAGCTTCTGGGCAAGGGAGCCTGGGGAAGCCTGAGAACCCAGGGCTGGCCTCTAAGCTGGAGGACACTGCCACCATGTGGACAATTGAGAAACAGCAGTAGCTGGCCTAGGTAGGACCAGAGGAAAACAGACATTTGGACATTTTAGAAACTTTATTGAAGGACAAAAGGGTGTCAGCTCTCAGTACATGGTGTGGAAAATAAATAAGGGTTAAAAGGAAGGTGCAAGGCAGGACAGGAGTGGGTGGAGGCGTATGCCTCATGACGGAGAGTCCTGTGGGGCAGCAGAACCGACTGGAATAAAACACTAGGGAGAGAGAAGACCTCGTCACAGCCCAGCTGTCCTTGAACTGTAACCAGCTCTTCCCCCTGACCCCTGACCTCTGTAAAGGAGCCGAGGATGGCCCCATGCCCTACTTCCTACTTCGCACAGGCCTAGCTGGCTGTGGACCGGAGGCTCACCAGGGCATCCTGCCATTCGAGCAATGTGGCCACAGGGTTGGTGCAGACCCGGGTGAGGCCTGAGGGAGGGGCTCGGCTGGTGTAGAAGGCACACTCGTCATCCAGGCGGGCCTCGTGGAAGCGGTGGATGGCGGTCAGACATGCTTTGAGGCGCTGCCTCAGGGCCAGGGTTCGAGGGGCCAGATTGCTGGGGCCTGAGGGCCAAAGGCCACAGAGAGATCAGGGCAGACTCTGGAGTCCTAGACTCCCACCATATACTGCCCTCTCCCACTCCCCGACCACGGGCCAAGCCAATTAGGAGCACGGGGCTGAAGGTGCAGCCCCCCACTTCTTCCTGCGGGAGAGCCAGACTGGGGCAAGGAAGGTAGGGGAAAGAAAGCGTAGGATCACCTGGTGCAGGGCAGGCCCTGCTCCCAGCGAGAGATGAGGACCTCCTTTGTTCACAACCCCTTCCAACCAACTCCTTACCTGCCTGGCCTGTTGGGGGCTTCAGAGACTGGCGTGAGTGGATAGGGGGGCTGGCACAAAGTGGGCGTTGGGAGGAGGAGGTCAGGCTGGTGGTCGCTGGAGCCCACTGACTGCAGCAGGGCCATGGGCTGGACTCTGGACTTCTGGGTTCTGGGGAGCAGGCCTCTGATACCCCAGGCTCTACCCTAGGGGAGGGCTCTGGGAGTCCTGTCTGCCCCTGGGGGCAGGCCTGAAGGGGTCCAGGCTCTCCCAGAGGGCAGGGCTCTGATGCCTCCTGGGTGGAGGGCTCTGATATCTCAGGCCCCCTCCTATGGTAGGACTCTGGGGGCCCTGGTTCTGCTGGAGGGCAGGGCAGAGCTACCTCGGGCTCTGCTGCAGGGCAGGGCTCTGGTTCCCCACACCCCTCTGGAAGGTAGGGTTTGGGCGGCCCAGAGTGCTGTAACATTCCAGGAAGATGAAAAGCCCCAGATTTATTCTCTGGGGCATTCAGAGTTCTAGAAATCTCAGCCAGCAGGGGCTGAAGTTCAACCATATCCAGAGAGGAGCCTCCATTAAGGGGGGCACACTTGCCCTCCGCCAGCCCCTCTACCTCCTGTCGCAAAAGCTGTTGCAGGATACTGATGCGCTGTGGGTGGGACAGAGTGTGATGTCAAGAAGTGGGTGCAAGTCTTGTACCCACACTGTCCTATTTCCATGCCCCCACCCCCGCCCATTTCTCGCTTTCCCAGCCCTGTCACTGCCCATCAGGCATCAAAGCTGTTGCCCACACCAGCCCACCTGCATCTTCAGCTCCTGGAGGTTGGGGGTTCTACTGGGGTGGGGTCCATAAGGAGTTGACATAGGTGGCTTCCCAGGACCCTCCTGCAACCTTATACCACTCTCCTGGTCAAATAACCGGACTGCAATCTGCTCCTGCCACATGGGAGGAGAGGGGCCACATGAGGAAGCCAGGCTGGAGCAGGACGAAGACTAGTTTGAGTCTTCAAACTAGTGAGGAAGGGATCAGGTCCTTAACTGAGTGGCCCTAGACTTGGATTAGGAGGGGCAGCAGAGAAGCAGGGAGAGTTGGAGAGTTAGGCAGCTTTTCCAGAGAGCCCACTTGCTTCAAAACTGCTGGGCCTCAGGCCAACGGGACAGAGCGAGGAATCTCAGCATGGGAAGGTTTTAGATACTTACCCAGGGCAGGGCAGGCTCCTCGGGGCAAGGCTGAGGCGAGAGGCCGCTCAACCACTGGGCCTGGGACAGAAGTGAGATGCCATGACTTTCCCTGTACCCATCCATCCCCTTCCTCCTCCAGTCCTGGCCTAAGCCAGCTACCTCCCCTGCCCTCTCTCACCTGCTGAGCTCTGGGGGCCGATGGAAGGGGTGTGAACTGGGTTTTGGGGCGGATGGCGAGACGCCGCAACACTGAATATGAGGTCTGAGGAGAGATGGGCGTGGTTGGGCAGGGACAAAACCGAGACCTCGCAGTGATCCCAGCCCCCAGGATTTGTGGATACAAACTGGAGCTGAGGGGCCAGGGGAAGGCACACGTTGAGCCCGTCCAAAGGGTGATGGCCGGGTGATGGCAGGTGGTATCACTTGGCCAGGGGAGGGCATCAGGCAGGAGTCACGGCCGTCCTGTGGAGAACAAGGTGGAAGAGTGATCCCTCCCGCTTGGCCTTGCTCTTTCTTGTCCTCACTTGAGCAGCCAGTGTGATTCTTTTGAGATCTAATCAAGTCATGTCCCTCCCTTGTTCATCCCCCCTCCCCATGGCTTTGCACTCATTCCAAGTAATAGCCAAGATCTTCCGCTGTTTTATAAATCCTTACCCAACCTGATTCTGTCATTGCTCTAACCTCTCACTTCCTTTCCTTCTTACTCTGCTTCAGCCTCGCTTTTTTGCTGATCCTTAAACACACCAGGTACATGCCATCTTTGCATCTGCAGTTCTTGTGGCCTGGAACATTCTTCCCCCAGATTATCTACATGGCTCACTCCCTCACCTCTTTCTGCTCTTCACTTAGCCGCACCTCAGTGAGATTCCCCTGACCGATCTACCTGAAACTGCAGTACCAATCACCCCCTTCCACTTCTCCTTCCCTTTCAGTGCCTTACTTTCTTTTTTTAAAACAGATAACTTATCACCATCTGACCTACTATATATTTTACACGTTTGTTTATTTTTTGTCTCCCCCTTCTAGAATGTGAACTTATTTCCTACTGTATATCCAGAACCTAGAACATTGCTTGGCACACAGTAGCTGGTCAATAAACCCTTGTGGAGTGAAAGAATGAACTCTCAGATCTGTCTTACTCTCAGCACTGATCTGATGGTGATACAAATGTATACCAGACTGTGACCTCTCACTCGCAGGCCCTGGACACCTGGTAAACAGAGGCCAGTACCACTCTGGAGAGGGCTTGGGTCCATCCGGGGCAAACCAGGACCCAGTTAACATGCTGAGATCCAGGCTGGGACTGCCTGGCTCTACCCACAATCCTCAGCGCCGCTGCTGCTGGGGAACCCCCCCATGCATCGCCTCTGTGCCCTTCCCCCAGCACAGAGGAGGAAGGTCCCAGCTCACCTTGGTGTGTGTTATCTCTCGGGTTTCTTTTAATGGTACTCGCTGAGCCAGACCGAGGGGGCCCCCTCCTCTTTCATCTGAGTGAGTGACAACTTCATATTCTCCTTCAGGTAGAGAGGAAGCTAGGAGGAGACAGGAAATTTGCTGCAGTGTCTGGAACACACATCAAAGTCTGGCACAGCGCTCTGCAACCCTAGTCAGAGGTTGCAACCTCCGAATAGGGTATGCCAGTTTGACAGCCCCCATGCACCATCAGGGGTGGGGACCCATCCAGCATCCCTTTGAAGCCCAGCACTATTTCAGTAGTAAATCATTAGTCTGAATACCCTGGGTGGGCTAGGGGTGTGG